TCGTCGACCCGCGCTGCTCCTCCAGCCCCCAGCCGCGTGATCTCCTCCAATGCGGCGGCCGCGGCGTAGAGCAGGTCCGCCAGGCGGGAGTGGGCCAGCCGGAGTCCTTCGGCCGACGCATCCCCCTCCTCCTGTCGTAGCGGCGCGGGCGTACTCGGCCCCGGCTGCTCCGATTCAACCCCGGCCATCTCTGGTGGTGATTCGGCCGCGGCGTCTTCCATCTCCGACTCCCTGGTACGTGTCGTCCCTCGTGTGTCCATCGTTGGACGTTTACTTCTGACCCCAGATGTAGTAAGTATATATGGAGGCTTGACGACAGGATCGGAGGCACCCTTATTTATTACACCAACACTGTTATTACAGGTCACCGGGCTACAGGGATTTCTCGACAGCTAACCCCTCTAGCCTATACCAACTCCTCCACTACGGGACTAGGGGAGGCTATCTGTCCCAGCTTGGTTAAGCTGGGATCCCGGCTCCCTGAGTCACCAGACCAGCTTCGTCTGGGCTCTCGGGGCCACGCCACCGGCTTGCCCTGGTCGGCCCTTAGAAGGACAGCGAGCCAGGGGAGCTCCGGGGCCTATACTAGCAGGTCTTCGTTCTTCACTGGTTAAAGCTGAGTCCCGACTCCCGAGCCTTTCGGCTCATCACCTTTTATAGGACTTGCCCCCAAGGGGGGGCCCGTGGGGGATACACATGCGGACGTCGGTGCGAGCGCCACCCTTGTGTACGGCCGTAACCCCGCCCCTTGTGTTTGTTGGCCATCCGTGGCCATGCATAATCACACCTCAGCATTCGTAGCCATGCGCAATTACACCTCTACATATATAAGAGTCTCCGCGCGCTTGCGGGGGATTTGGCTCTCGGACGGTGGGCTTCACGTAGAAATAAAATTGGCAGGCGGCACGCCCTAAGCCCCGCGGTGGGAATAGGCTATTCCGTTTCCCCATCCGTAAAGTTTAAAGTTGTTTAATTAACACATTTGTGCGGTTTCTATTATTAATGACTTACTTATTGCTCGACATCGACCGTACCAACTGACGCCAATTGCGTGGGGGGGGGGGGTAGACACTGCCAAGTGATGCGCGTTCGCACGAGCTCATTTCCTTTTACGCGTTTTACAGCAGGCAAGATGTACATACGTAACTCTGCGGACATTTCTTCACAGTGTCATGTCCTCTTCGCCCCCCCCCAACACGATGCGTCCACTTTATACTACAGACTCCGTAGATAATAATATTTTACTGCTTACATACCATTATTCTTGCACGGGCGGGGGATGCTGGGGGGGGGGGGTAGCGGCCCAGCCCCTAGCCTGGCAACGTGCCAACTCCGCCGCCTCGCCAATGTAGGCCAGGACGGGGGCTAAGCATGGCACAAGGCCTCAACACGCCTATGCTAAGTACAGAGTTCCTTGCTTCTTACGCTAACAACTCAAGTCCATTGTTTACTATTGTTAAACACATTAGTTTACAAACATTACAATAATAATGTTTGTGTGCTGATAAAAAATATGCTTCATTGCTTAATATTATGAAACAAATACGTTGCCAGATATTACTATATATATATATCTTTGTGTGCACATACCAACTCTGGTTCATTGTTTATCTTTCATTTACACTTATCTCTGCTTATTTCTTAAATGCATCTCTATTGTTTCCATCGCTCACGTCACGCTATTTACTCATACGTAGTACTGCGATACTGATAGCTGTGCCATCATCGGGGATTGTTGTGCCCATCGATGTGTGTGTATGAGTCCACGTGTGTGTCTTTGAGTCCATATGTTTGTGCGTGTAGAGCCATGCGTGTCTTTAACTCCATGTCTGTCTTTTTCGAACGGACAACGCCCGATGTGTGTGTGTACGTCAAAGTGTTTGTGTGTGTGTGTCAGTCCAAGTGTGCGTGTAAGTCCATTTGTGTGCGTATCAGTAGCTGTGTGTGTGTTAGTCCATGTGTGTGTGTGTTAGTCCATGTGTGTGTGTGTTAGTCGATGTGTGTGCATGGCTCCATCTGAGTGTGTATGTGTATTCGTGTGTCTATGTGTGTCAGTCGATGTGTATGTGTGTGTTAGTCCATATGTGTGTGTGTGTAAGTCCACATGTGTGTGTAAGTCCATACATGTGTGTGTGTCTCACTCGATGTGTGTGTGTAAGTCAGTGCGCGTGTGTGAGTCGACATGTGTGTTAATCCATGTGTGTGTCAGTCTATGTATGTGTGTAAGTACATGTGTGTGTAAGTACATGTGTGTGTAAGTACATGTGTGTGTAAGTACATGTGTGTGTAAGTACATGTGTGTGGGGAGCGGTAGTGTAGCGGTTAGCGCGCTGCGCTATGAACCTGGCGACCCGGGTTCGATTCCCGCTCACGGCTAACACCAGTGACGATTATCTGAACCGGTCCTGGGCCTCCCCTAGGTCGACTCAGCCTTAAATGAGTACCTGGTGCGGTGTGTAAACATCGCCACTGGGGAGACAAAGGCGGTCGGGCGTGGTGCTGGCCACCTACCCCCTCATGTACCGTTCCGGCCTTCATAGGTGCTCGCTAACAGCACTTGCCCCTACAGTCTGTTAAGGCTATACGGGGGATCTTTGTTTATGTCAATGTGTGTGTTAGTGCACGTATGTCTGTGTGTGATTCCATGTGTGTGTGTCTGAGTCGCTGTATGTGTGTACGTCCATATATGTGTGTGTAACTCCATGTGGGTGTATCTAAAGTGGATGTCTATGCGTGTGTGAGTCCATATGTATGTGTGCGTCAGTCCATGTGTGTGTGTCTTAGTCCATATGTGTGTGTGTGTGTAAGTACACCCAATTCAAGAGCCGAATGGCTCACAGGGCTATACCTAATAAATGAACTTGAACTTTAAATGTGTGTTTACGTCAATGTGTGTGTGTCAGTCCACGTATGTCTGTGTGTGAGTCGGTGTGTATGTGTGTGTGTGAGTCCCTGTATGTGTGTACGTCGATATGTCTGTGTAACTCCACGTGTGTATGTCAAGTGTGTGTGAGTCCATATATGTGTGTAAGTCGATGTGTTTGTGTGAGTCGATATATGTGTGCGTCTCAGCCCATGTGCGTGTGTGTTAGTCGCTTTGTGTGCGTTGCTCCTTGTGAGTAAGTGTAAGTCCATTTCTTTGCGTGTCTGTAGGTCCATGTGTGCGTGCGAGTGAATGTATGTGGTTTATTGACCTGCTCAAGGCCTATGATACCATCAGTAGGCCTGGCCTCTGGGTTGTTCTTCGTGCTTTCGGAGTCCCTCACCCTTTGCTCACGATCCTTAGGACCTTCATGATGGTGAGCGGCCTCACGTCAAACTACGTGGCCGTCAGTCAGAGCCATTCCCTCTACACCTTGGGGTGTGACAGGGATGTCCTCTGGCTCCCACATTATTTTACATATCTTTTGACCACGTAGTTCGTGAAGCCTTCAGTGACCTATACCGGTGGAATTACCATATGGTACAGATACAATAAGAGGCTGATCGACGCCCGGGTGCGGTCAAGGGATGCCTCCCTATTGCTCAACCATGTTATGTATGCCGATGCTCTGGTGATTGCTGCTCACTGCTGCTGAACCTGGAGCTTGTCACTAAGAGGTGGGGCCTCACCATCAGCCCCACCAAAACTAACCATCTGCCTGGGTATTTTATACCATCGAACAATCCAGCCCCACAACTTACAATTGGTGATGCGGCAGTTGTGGAGAGTTGGAGAGATTCCCATACCTGGCCAGTGTGCTCATGACCGGCTCCAGTTTGACAGCAGAGGTCTCACTCCAAATTAGTCGGGCGCCATTATCTTTTCATCGGCTGCGTTACGCTGTGTGGAAGCTACCTGGTCTCTCGCTCCGCATGAAGCACCAGGTCTTCTCAGCCACGGTAATTCCCTCCCTTCTCTACGCTTGCAAAACATGCACCCCCCTAATGGAACATCTTCGCTGGTTACAAACATTTAGGCTGGCCTGCTAACGATACATCCTGCACTTAACCATATGTGTGTGTGCATCTAAGTCGATGTGTTTCTATGTGTGTAGGTCGATGTCTGTGTGTAAGTCTACATGTGTGTCTGCCTTTTACGCCCGGGCAACGCCGGGTACTTACCGCTAGTAATGTTATAAATAAGAGGTTGCTACATAACATGATGGAGCAGCTGGAAGGAGTGAATCCAAACTAGGCATGGAAGGAATTTCCCTCCTGATGGTTTCATGAATTGCCATGATTTGGATTGCAATTCGGCTCAAGAATCTGTTCTTTCGTTACCATTGCAGTGGCTGTCGGAAGCAACTGCGAATCCATGAGATGCAACAGAAACAATACAAACAACGCTGACTTGTAAAACAATGACGAGGTGATGCACTCCATCTGGTGAGCGTCTCTAAGGGACACGCATTTACATCTTGTCATGATGTAACGGCACAATAATAGTAATGTAGTAGTGTGTAGTGTATAGCAGTATAGTGTAGTGTACAGTAGTGTAGTGTACAGCAGTATAGTGTAGTGTACAGTAGTGTAGTGTATAATAGTGTAGTGTACAGTAGTGTGTAGTGTAGAGTAGGTTATAGTATAATGTAGAGTAGTGTGTAGTGTACAGTAGTGGTGCATAGTAGTATAGTGTCGTGTAGAGTATTATTCAGTGTAGTGTATAGTAGTGTATAGTGTAGAGTAGTGTATAGTGTAGTGTATAGTAGTGTACAGTGTATTGTATAGTGTAGAGTAGTGTGTAGTATAGTGTAGTGTGTAGTATAGTGTAGAGTAGTGTATAGTGTAGTGTCTAGTAGTGTATAGTGTAGTGTATAGTAGTGTAGTGTATAGTGTAGCGTATAGTGTAGTGTATAGTAGTGTAGTGTATAGTGTAGTGTATAGTAGTGTAGTGTCTAGTAGTGTACAGTGTAGTGTATAGTGTAGTGTATAGTAGTGTAGTGTATAGTAGAGTAGTGTATAGTGTAGTGTATATTAGTGTAGTGTATAGTAGTGTACAGTGTAGTGTATAGTATTACCTTCCGTCTCTTGCTGTTCCTGCTGCTGTGTTCAAGGCCGTGACTTGACAGGACTTCTTGGTTCCGCTCAAGGCCTTCTTTGCAGGCTTTGCCTTGTCGCCATTTTCATCGTCAGAATTGGTCACCGCTTGAGACATTTTGCTTGGCGGAAGAGAGGCCGATGAGAAGTCGCCGTCTGTGGCGATGCAACACGCACACACATTGACGCGCGTACATCGCTGGGTTGGTTAAACCGATAACCATTTTCGGAATCAAATGGCGGTTATGAAAGTCGGGAATTGGCAATAGTTTACGGTGAGATTTTACTACCGGTGCAGAGGGCCTCCACAAGAGGGAGCTGAAAAGAGGAAATTGCCTACTCTCCCACGCTGCGCAGACACATTGGTAGAGGTGGCAAAGCGCCTCCTCGACCACGCACGACCAAGTGCGTGAACTCATCGACACCGCTGGGTGGAAGAGAGGTGGGGAGGGGATTTAAGAAACTTGCCACGTCGGGATATGGAATTGAACCAGCGGCTTCTGGATTGCAAGCCCACCGCGCTAGCCACGGCAGCTCCCTTGCGGATGCATCTAATGCGATTTAACTTTGGTAATGAAATATGACTTCTAATCATTTAAATAAGCCAACGAGTCAACGACCATAATTACAATCATAACCATCACTACTGTCCACCACGTCGTCTGCCCATAACCATCATATGTATAGATACCTCACATTCTACTCACCGTCGTCTTCAAAGTCCTCAGGCTGAGTATAATCAAATTTCTTGATTCTGCAACACCAATCATTTGGATAAAAGAAAAACAATGAAAGATCAATTCAGGAATAAATCACATTACGTACATGGATTCACGGGCCCACTTGCTGTACTGCCAAAACACCAGTGCCACTGAATTACAATGACACAATGCAAAGCAGGTGCCATGGCAGTGCCTATCGATCTGCAAAGGCGGTTGTCAATCAATGACATTGAGGCTGCATTGAAACTCGTTGTAATCGATGAACATGACACGTAGCCGGCCAACACTGTCCCAACTGATCCGATGTACCAATGTCATCAATTACACTATACACTACACTGTACACTACACTGTATACTACACTACTATACACTACACTATATTACTAGACACTACACTACTATATACTACACTACTATACACTACACTACTATACACTACACTATACACTACTATATACACTACACTACTATACACTACTATACACTACACTATACACTACACTATACACTACTATATACACTACACTACTATACACTACACTGCTATACACTACACACTACACTATACACTACACAGCTATACAGTACACTACTATACACTACAATACACTATACTACTATACACTACTGTACACTATACTACTACACTATACACTATGCTATACACTATACACACTACTATACACTATGCACTACACTACTACACTATACTACTAAACACTACACTACTACACACACTCGTGCTGTACTAGTACACTACACTATACTACTATACACTACACTACTATACACTACTACACTACTATACACTACTACACTATACTACTACACTACACACACTCGTGCTGTACTAGTACACTACTATACACTACACTACTGTACACTGCACTATACACTACACTACTACACTATAATACACTACTATACACTATACTACTACACTATAATACTACTACACTACACACACTCGTGCTGTACTAGTACACTACACTACTATACACTACACTACTATACACTACACTACTATACACTACACTATACACTACACACACTCGTGCTGTACTAGTGACGAATTGGCCACGTTCTGTTCACGTGACCACCCCCTCACCAGTTGCTGTGTGGGGTGGTGGCGAGTTTAACGACACAACATTTACACATTGACGCGATCTGCCCCCCCCCCCCCCCAACAACAAACTCCCTCTCTGTTATGAATCAGCCACAGAGCCACTCACGCACCTGAGTAGCCTCGGCATGTCAACTGAAGTCTCTCACCCCCCAATACAACAACCACGAGCCACCAACGAGAAATAAAACTAAAAAAACACGCGGATAAGAGCCGCGATGACGACGATAACAACAACGATGAGGGATTTCCCTCAAACGTGAGGGAAGTGAACGCCAACTTTGTATAACTGTGAAGTTGTATCAAGTTAAACTTTTGTCGATTAACGCGAATTAGCGAGTTTGGCGCAAAGCCAGATTTGCAAAGCGCACGAGGGGGACAAAGCCGCTGATTCCTCGCAGCCAGTTTCGTCACGACGCCGATTGTGGTGGTGGTGGTCACGATACAATAATAAAAACAACTTACGTTTACAATATTGTGAGTATGGGTTTAATCTCGTTTAAAATGTGTACAATTAAATCATGTATTTATTACGGGAGGGAGGGAGGGGTGTTTTAAGATATAAATGTTGTGGATTGCGTCAAGGCAGAGAAGATGGGTGAATGTGTTAACGAATGCGGTAGGCGAATGATCGGTTGGCAGCGTCTTTTCCACGGGGGGTTGTGGGTCACGTGGTGTCACCCCCCCCCCCCCCTCCGGCTTTCGTGATTGGGTGGGTGAGTGGAGGGTGAATTTTGACTTTAAACTTTTAGGCCGTAAGGTGAACAAGGAAAAAGTGGCTAGAAAATGATTTTCGTTTCCCACATCTGGGAACTACTTTTTAAATGAATTTTTTTATTGACAAAACCATTATCGACTTTATGTTAAAAGTTATCCGCAAAATACCCTGCAGTTTTTTTTCAAAATTTATAAATGTATATAATTGTGAATTGGAAAAAACGAAAATCTTATGCTGCTGGTTTTGTTTGTAACTTTATTTATATACATTTTAGCAACACCAAATATCTCTCAAACTGACACTTATATATGTACCTAAACACTTGAGACAGGTTTTGGTGCATTATATACTCAAGTGTGAATGTAGACCATGAAATATGGCAAATTTGTAGAAAATATGCTTCAACTTTACGGATTGGCACTAAGCAAAATTAAACATAAACATTTTAAATTTAGCAAAACTGTGATGTTTTGTACATCAAAATTTTCAGTAGGTACTGTGTAATCACAGAAAGATACAAATATAAGCACACTTTGGCCCAAGTTGGCTGAAATGACTCGAAATGCTACACTGTTCCCTTGTTTTGGAATGCTGCCAAAAAAATTACAATTCTACCACAGATTCTTTACAGCTCAAAATCACCTTAAATTATAAGACAGCGCATATTTACTCATCGGTATCATCCCTATCACTATCAGAGCCATCATCCCATGTAGGTCTTCTGTTTCCTGTGAAACATTTGCACAATTTTGGCACCGACATAAATCAGTACAAGACAGTCTTGTAGACATACAGGAACATCTTCCAGTCTCACATTTGCTCTGCTTGCAACTGCAGTGGACTGCCTGCAACACACTTTCAGGGGCAGGGTTTCTAGTCATCCAGGTCACTATTCACTCACCATCCTCGGGGTGCCATCCATTGCCGACGGGTGAAGGGGCACACATTGTACCTTTCAGAGAATGTCTCATTATGGCTGCTTGGTAGTTTGCCCTTTTGCAGTGTTGGTACAGGGCGTCACTTGTCGGGGGCACGGATAGTTCTAGAAAAGCTGACGATGCCATACAGAATGCTTTGTATCTTGCATCGTTCACATTTTCGGCAGATGACTGCCCATACAGGTGGCACACATGTGCAAAGTAGCTCAAGGGTAGACTGGTCTAGGTTAAAACTGCTACCCAGATTTGTAAAAGCAGTCAGATATTCCTCTTTCTCACAAGCAACAGAAAATGCCTTTCTTTTGCCTTTGCCATAAAAGGCACTTGTAGAGTCACAACCTGAGAAGGTATGGATCCCAATAAGTGCCAAACAGACACTTGTGCCAAGAGCTGACGACACCTTAGCTAAGTCAATGAGCCTTGTTTTGTTGCCAACCCCCGTGAAAAAATACAACCTACATGGTAAATCTGGCTGCAGACTTAAAGCAATCACTGCCACATCAGCATCAGGGCTCTTGATGACTACAGTTTGATGTTCCTGTGCAGCATGTTGTGCATGTAAAAACACCCTGGTGTCACATTCCTCATGATCACATGTCAGATCTTCAACAGCACTGAGAGTATGTAAATCCTCCATTACAGTCACGCAGTGACACAGGTCTCCATGTGCTATGTACAAGCTTAAGTCCTTTCCCACAGTGGTAAGATCAGCCTCTCGCCACACAACATAGAGGAATTCTGCCAGTGCTTCTTTGTTTGTTCCATCTGATATAAACGTTTTCCATTGTGTTGATGTCTTATGATCCCGTCCATAAATTTTCACCAGTTGTGTACCACCACCAGCTCTACGTGACCGTTCTAGGTTTTTAATACTCATTTTTGGATACTGGTCAATCACAAAGTTTATCCGTGTACAGTTTGTTTCAGAGAAAGTTTGACTATGTACTGCAGTATGGTCTCTGCAAGCTCTCCAAAGGTACTTGGTATTGACCGAATGGCTTGAATGACTGCCATGCCATCAAAGAAAATAGCTCCACTGATCACTCCATTGATGAATCCTGGGGCAACAACTTTGGACTCAATGAGTATGTCTTGCAGTCCTGCATCTCCAAACCTTTTTCCTAGAATGCTCAGGTAGGACATGCATGTGTGAAATTCACCTAGTCTAATCACTTTACGCTGAGTAAAGTCATCATCTTTCCAGCAGATTTGCTGAGCTTTGGCATATATAGCTTTGTCAAAAACTAACACTATATGGTCCAGTTCTAGCTGATTATGAATTTGGACACTTCGCTTCAGAATTGTGTTTACTGATGACATCTCTGTTGGTGAAGCCTCAATGACTGGAAGATAATACAGTGCTGACTTTTGCAGAGTGCCATCACCTTGAAGTAATGTATGTAAACCTGTCCAGCTTGGTATTGTGCATCTTTCAGCATCTATGGACTTTACAAAAACATATGCCAGTTCAGTTTGTACAGCAGACACCGTGTTCAATTTGTATGTGTCCGCCTGTAATGGAACACTTTCCTGATGAAACAAGTTATGTGGTCCTTGCCTATTAGACTGATGGTACTGTTCGACAGGGATGCTAGGGGGTACTTTCAATGAGGGTTTTCCCTTCTGTAGTGGTTGTCTGTTTGTTGTTGACACAGGTTCAACTACAGAACTTTGCAGCATAATCCCATTTGTGTGGTGGGTAGTTCTACGACCTGACAGTGTCTCCTCCGCAAAGTCAATATTGTCCCACACAAGTACTGTAGGAACCTTCTTTGAGAATCCCTTTGGTATTTTGTCTCTGCCTCTACTAGTTGAAGTTGGGCAAGGCTAGTGTCTAGACTGACAACTGTGTCCCATGCTGCACAATGTCCTAGTCTATTTACAAGTGACACAATTTGTGATGAACCTGTTAAATGGCGAACCGTTAGACCAAGACACAATGATTTAGGGGTCTGCCTCCGACCCTTAGATGCAAGATACACAATGTCTTGACAGATACATATCACTTTTAGGTTCAAATCATCTGGAATATCAACATAATGGGCCAGTGTTGGTTCCTCAGTTGCACCAATAATCCAGGAAATCAGATTGTACAGTTCAATTGGAACGACAGATTTTGCCTCACTCACATTTAGGTCATCTGATGTGGGTAGCCACGGGCATTTCATACCGGGAGAGTCACACAGAAGCATCTTTAATATTAATGCCGCACTGTAAAGTGTCCTCGTGTCCTCTGCAGTATTGATGGAGGCCATTGAACTTGGTCTTTGTGGACCAGCTTTTGCACTAACCCTGTTTTCAGTCATTTCGCTAGTTACCTCAGTTGACTCTGTTGTTTCTGTACTTGATGGATGAGGTAGCCTGTCTATCAGCTTATCTGCAGACAATGTCTCAACGAAAACCATCTCACTTATGTTGCGCTTCTTGAGGGAGTGAAACACCAGCTGGGGGAAATCACGGGCCAACCTCCTACTTTTTTAATGTGAAAATGTGAGGGAATTATTCATTAATATTTATTAATATAAAATATTGCGAACTCACTGTTCTTCTGAGGTCACAGTAACTGATGCACTAGACTTTGTCAAGAACCTGGTGTACTGTCTATAACAGGACTTGTGGTATCGCACCTCCAGAGACACACAGTCTTTGTCTCGAATATGCACAAGAATGCTAGTGTCTTCCTTCATTTCAGCAGCTTTCAGCAAATTGCCTGTAAATAAATAAATAAAACTTATTCAACTAATAAAAAACTGTGTTAAGAGTTAAACAATATTGAGTGTTCTGGCTGTAGCTGTATGCAAAACAATGCAAATCTGTCTCTGACTGTAAAATAAACATTACATAAATTATGTAATTGTAATTGAAAGTTAGCCATGGTACCCAGCATAAGGGAATACAAGTTCAAATGTGTGTTTGTGTGTGTTTTGTTTTTACCTACGTGCTGACGTTTCTGCCTGTGAAAGATGGTCCTTCTGGCGTTTGCCTCCCACAGTAATGTACTTGTCCGTTTTCTTACAAATTATGCCCAAGGCAGAAAGCACAGGACCAGCACAAGCTACTGGCAGGCCGGTCCTGGACCTAAGTTTTTTTGCGGGACAATCAACTGCAGCGATACTAACGTTACTACCCGATGGCACAGACTGGCTTTGATCTTGAGCATCAGGACGCTGTGTGGCCCGTTTCTCGGCCGCATCCAAGCGCTTTTTGTCAATGAAACGCCTGTAGCAAGTGGAGTGAAACCCAGCGTCTTCGGGAACATTGTCAAACTCGATTTCTAGACAATGTTTGTATGTTTCTGCTATTCTCCGATTCTCACCTTGCAAAAAAAGCCACCGTTTGACGCAGTTTCTGAATGTATCCCACTGTGTCCGTGTAAAATCCTTTGTTTCTTCTTTCTTTATGGATGTGAGATGCATGTAGCATTGTTTAAAATACTTTTTACGGACTTTTGAAGGAGGTCTGGCCGTAATTTCCTCCTCTTCACTACTCGACATTGACCACAAGGGCGCAGACATCTTGGACTAATGTTTACCTCTCGTCCCAAAAAGCAGCCACCTTATTGGTCTAGCGGGAAGCACGTGACGCAAAGCCTAATCACTGATGATCAAAATATTATTACGCGAGGAAAGAAATATTGCCGACTTTAAACAATAATAAAAAATAAACTGCAG